AATAAAAATTTCTTGTGTTCATATGTGCACAAATTTTTTTTTGCAGATCATAAGATCGACGAATTTCCAACACTGCTCCTGTTCCATTGGCGTTAGTATAACGTTCTAACCATATTTAGTATTTTATTAAATGCAATCAATGGACCAGACTGAGGTTTCCAGTCCAAACTATTTTTGAACGTGTTAATAATAGAGATATATACTATTTTTATTTGTATTGATATAAATATTTTTTAATTGGTCTTCAAAGCCATATCATAACAACACGTTTTTGTCATCTGTTAAAAATAAATCAATTCGCGTCTGTCCAAAAAATTCTTTATACAACACCATAAACTTTTTTTTTTAAACACGTATTTTTCTTTTTTTTCTTTTTCAAAAATTAAAAATTAAAAATACGTAAAGAAAAGGGAAAAAAGAAGAGAAAATGAACTATATAGTCGAAAGAGGATAAACGTTTATCAAAAGAATGGTGGTGGTGGTTTTCATCACTCGTTGTCACTATAGTTTATATTTAAATATTAGGAATGATAATAACAAAGTAAGTAAATAATCAAATTATATTTTCTTTGGATGGGTAAAATTGGTAGTTTTGTTGATATTAATCCAACTTTCTAATGTACAGGAAAATGATCTAGAAGCTGAGGCAGTGGAGTTGAAGAAAATATTGGAAAAAAAAATGGTAAAGATCTCACAACACAAATCAACCAATCACAAGATTTTTAAGTATGCTCAATTATGATTATTAAGAAAAAAAATCAAAAGATAAAGAAGTTATTACCTTTATCATTATTATTAAATATAAATAATCAGATTAATCTAAATATTTATGTCCATTAGATGAGAAACTATAACTAACATCATTATTACCAATAATTGTTACTTTGTTGGAATTCATGGGTTGGGGAAGGTTTGTAAAATTTAATAATCTGCTAGTATAAATTGCATTTGGATGAATTACTGTAGTAATTGTTGAAGGAAGAAATTTTATTTTGTCTATTTTCTCAAACTCTTTTCTAATTTGTTCATTTTTATTTTTATAATTGGATGTTTATCTGGATTAGCATCCATGCATCTGAATGCTAGTCCAATATAGAATTTTGGTGTATTGTCACACGATTACTATATAAAGTATTGATAGATAAATAATGATAAATATTTTCATAAATATTAATTAATATTAATTTACAATTTCTTACGCATTCTCTTCTTCGAAGATACATTCCTTTTTCCTACGCTTTGTTATTCTAAAAACAAGACATTCCTTTCTTTTTTTTAACATTATTAATAAAATAAAAAAATAAATTAACATGCAATCTATAAAATGTGTTGTGGTTGGTGATGGGTAAGGTCAAACATTATTTCCGAGTTTTTATTAATTATTTACCAATTTAATTGATCATTTTTTATTTATTAACAGTGCTGTAGGTAAAACTTGTCTTTTGATCAGTTATACTACGAATGCATTTCCCGGAGAATACATTCCAACTGTGTAAGTGTCATAATAATTAATAATTAGTAATTGTGATTTTAGATTTTATTTATTTATTTAATTATATTTATGATAGATTTGACAATTATTCTGCAAATGTTATGGTTGATGGAAAACCAATTAGTCTCGGTCTTTGGGATACGGCAGGACAAGAAGATTATGATAGATTACGTCCGCTTTCGTATCCTCAAACTGATGTTTTTTTAATTTGTTTTTCTTTAGTTAGTCCTTCTTCTTATGAAAACGTTAAAAGCAAGGTAAAGTGAATGCAAATAGAAATAGAAAGAGAAATTTTCTATTAGCTCTATTTTTTCTGATTATTTATTTCTACAAAAAAACAATTAATTAATTATAATTAATTCATTCACACACACACACTCTATATATATATTCTCCTTCGATCGAAACAAAAGTGGTATCCTGAGATTATGCATCATACAACTAACACTCCACTTATTCTTGTTGGCACCAAGCTTGATCTTCGTGAAGATAAAGAAACAATTCAAAAATTAAAACAAATGACTAATTTATATGCTTTATGTGGTCATCTTCCAGATGAAGATGAATAATGAATAATGATACAACCTTAGAAAAACATGCCGGTCAAATTGATGACTTACAAGAAAAGGTTTCAGATACAAGTTTTAGATGACTATGTTACCCCCCTGTAAGTATAAATCATTACTTGCAAATACTGTTTAACTACAAAAATATCAGAATAAATTTTTTCATCTTGATTTTTTTTTTTGCTTTGTTTAATTTAGAGGAGAACAAATAACAACAACGTTGTTGACAGTATTAATCCTGATGATGTTGATAATATTGTTGGTGAAATATGTGCCCCAAATTAACATAATTTAAAATGAATATCCTCATTCAATGAAAATGTGAACTCGATCTCTATTTTATTTTCCCCACTTCAGACAAATATTGATGGAGAATTGAATTGGTGC